CTAGTATTAATAACAGGCCTAAAAGACAGAATGTTCAATAGGGTTTGAATAATTGAAAGCTATCTATCTAAGACCTAAAATATATATCTTAGATTTTGATTTATTTATTTTTGTTACTAATTCTATTACGATTTTTTGATGATGTTTTCTTCACAAAAAGTTTATTAGTTTAATAATATTAAATTATATTACTCTTTTAAAATTCTAATACAAAATTCATGATATTTTATATTTACTCGTGAGTCTTCTTTGTTAAATACATTCTTCAATATTTATTCCATGATCGAGTAGCTAAGTAAAAAAATAATGATCAATAACAATGACTTATAATTATGATAATAAATTGTGTTTTACTTTAAAAGTTAATTTAATAGACAACCTTCATTGAATTTAAGAGTTATATTAAATTTAATTTAACCAATATTAACGTGAGGGGACAAACAATGAGAATGATAAAAACTCAAGGGGTAACTAATTGATTATTGAAAATGTAAGATTGCATTAATCATAATGACATAACCTCAGGGCTAACAGTAATTTTCCCTTGATAGTATTCTAAAAATATCAAACTATTCATTGCTTGGGTTTTTAAAAGAGAGAGCACTAAATGCTCGTAAGATTTCACAAAGTAATATTGATCGATCAATACAAATCAAGAATGTGTTGGCAAATAATATACCTAACTTGAAAGAAAAAATCACACAATATTTTTATGAATTAGAAGCTTAAGCTTAACCTTAGTGCTTAACTAATTGGGGAATCGGTAAATTAATACACTATACAATATATATTTTGAAATGTGTAGTATTCATTATAGATCAAAATCATACCAGACCAAAACTTAAATAGATCAGATGAGATCATATTAAATCAAATCAAATTAATTCAATTGACCACTTGAAAAAAATTCACAAATAACATAATCTTCTTACCAATCAGAAGTTCAATTAATTAAATGGAAAGAAACTTCCCGATGGGGTATTCAATTTCGATCCGCTTGCAAAGATTTGAATGGTTCGTATCAAAACTTCATTAAAATTTAAAAGAAAAATTCCATTTTTTAGGGAAAATGTAAATTAATAATGAGAAATTTGCCTATATAAGGCTAAAACAATGCAAAATTGAAAAAATAGGACTACTATGTTTTATACTTTAAAATAGGATTTCAGATTACAATTTTGTCTTTCCTATAATTAAACCCAAAAGCCCTGCATCAATCACACACATCTATCGCCCCAGCTCTCTCTCACTTCATCGATAGTAGCTGGATCGTAGCCACACCACCACTGCTCCTCTGCCATGGAAAGATGGACTGATGCCCCTCCACCATCGACGGTAGCCACCGCTGTTGCTCTACGATTTCACCGGTGAAACCAGGTAAATTTATTCTCCTTCTTCTCCTCTCATCCTCTTCATGTCCTCTGCTTATTACTCTGTTTTTTTTTTCTATCAAATCAAAATTTCATCCTCTTCTTATCCTCTACTTGCTTTACGTTTCTCAAAATTTGAGTTTGAGAATTTTAGATGGACTAGACTTCCAAAAAGAACAATTGATTGGAAATGTCTCATTTTGAATTTTTATTTATTTATTATCAGAAAAATGTCACTTTCAAAATATGAGAATGTCATAATTATAGGTTATTTAAAAAATGACACTGTTATGACATTTTTTATTTCTCATCTAAAATTCCATATTTTTACAGCTTAAAATGTCATTTTCAATTTATGTCAAGATGTCATTCTCCTGCAAATCACTAATTACCTAAGAAAATGTCATCTTAGTGGCATAGAAATGACATTTATTTGTCAAACGGGACAAAAAACATGTCACTCTAAAATTTGTAGTTTCGGAGTAATATAGACATCTAGATAGATATAATGACATTTTTTCTAATTACTAGTAGATATGGCATTCTCAGAGTCCAAATTAATCAAAATTAATTAATGAATAAATAAAGAATTTCAAATCTAAATATTTTAAATCATTGATCGATTGAAATCTCTCTTTTCATGTAAATGTTTTCAAATCTAAAATATTTTTTTATTTAATTTAAAAAAAAACAAATAACAAATCAAAACAATCCAAAGAAAAAGAAGATGCGGAGAAAGAAGATGCACAGAACCAGGAAGAAAATAGGGACCAGAAAGATGTAGAAGAAGAAAGAAAAAGAAGATTACATGCTCTAGAAATCGTGATAGAGATAACTTTGAAGACTTTTAGAGCTAGCTATGATCTATTGGTAGAACTTCAGACCATGGCAGAGGGAAGAATTGTTGCGGAGTAGTTGCCGTCATGGAATGTAGAGTGAGAGAGATATTGGAAGTTGCGATCGACTATACGTAGAGGCGAGATAGAAGGGAGGGTAATTATAGTAGGGAGGGTAAAAATGTAATCTACAGTCCTATTTAAGAAATAATAAACTTAGTCCTAAGTTGGAGTTTATGTCATGTTTTAGTCTTATTTAGGATAATTACTTATTAATAATACAACCTTTTAGCGGTCTTCTTACAATAGTTCCACCTTATCGTTATCCATGAATAATCCAACATTTGCACCTCATCTTCATTCGTTGGTTCCTAACCGTTTGATGACATGTTATTCCAGGTCTTTTCATTTTGTTTGCAAACCATTCAACCATAAATCCCACATTTCATAAATCTTCACCAAACGGTCTCACGCATCATTTTTCTTTTTCCTTCCTAAAACATTTCCTTTTTTATTTTTATCGTCTTGACTCTTTTATTCCCCTTTTTGGTCTTCTTATCCTTATTTTTCAATGTCTATGTATTCCATTTTTCCTTCTTTTTCTTCTTCTCATTTATTATTTCATTTTTATTTTTATATATTTTTTCGGATTAGTTTCCTTATAAAAGATCTTTTTCTCACCATACTAAGGGTATGCTTAGCACAACTAGCTTAAAAGATACTTTTGTGAGCTTTTTAATAATTGTTAGCTTTTAGTGATAGAAAAGATCTTAAAGAGAAAAGATGGTAGTTGTTTGGTAAAAAGCTGACTGTTTGATTTAATTCGGTTTGATATACAAGCTGTTAGGACTAAGGCTATGTTTGGCAGGCATAAGTACCTTCTAGCTTTTGTACTGTTCAAAAAGTCTCTAAAATCTTCTAGTTATATGTTTGGCATGACAATTTTTAAAAGCTTTTCAAAAATTAAAAGATCTTTTTTGAGATGCTACAGAGAGTACCATCTGAAAAAAACTCGTGACTTTTAGTATTAATTAGTCCTAACAACATGTATACCAAACCGAACTAAATCAAACAGTCAGCTTCTTACCAAACAGTTACCACCTGTTCTCTTTAAGATCTTTTCACTAACTAAAATCTATCAGTTATTAAAAAGCTCACAAAAGTATCTTTTAAGCTAGTTGTGCCAACATACCCTAATTAATACTAAAAGTCACGGGCTTTTTCCAGATGCTACTCCTTGTAGCATCTCAAAAAAGATCTTTTAATTTTTGAAAAGTTCTTAAAAATTGTCATGCCAAACATATAACTAGAAGCTTTTAGAGACTTTTTGAATGGTACAAAAGCTAGAAGGTAGAGACTTATGCCTGCCAAACATAGCCTAACTTTTTACTTTATTTTCTTTTTACTTACACTTATTTATTTCCCTTTTCCTTTTCTTACCTTTATTCTACCACTAATATATATTTGAGAAAATAGCCCCAAAATAGGACTAAACTAATCCCTAAATACACAAATAGGACTATGTTATTTAGGCGCTAGGTTGCGGTTAAGGATGGATCGGTACCGGTCGGACCGGCCCGGTACCCGGCCCGGACCGCCACTGTGCGGTACCGGCCCGGTTGACCGGGACTGGGACCGGGCCTTGGGCCCGAACCGGGTGGCTTTTGGGGCGGGTCACGGGCTGCAGATTCTTGGAACCGGCCCGGCCGGTTCGGGACCAGTTTGGGCCCAAAAATGTTTTTTTTCTTCGAATGGATTAGGTGGTAGGCGGGCTGGGCTGGGTGGTTTGGGGGTGTTTGGGGGTGGGGGTAGGAATAAATAAGAAACAAAATTTTTAAAAAATAGATAGTATATATGTATGACCTGACCCGAACCCAGCCCGGTCCTGGATCCTACCCGGGCCGGTACAGGTAGGGGTGGACTCGGGTCCGGGCCGGGTCCGGGTCGGGCCTAGGCCCAAGCGGGCTGGCGGTTCAAGAATGGTGGACCCGGGACCGGCCCGGGTAGCCACCGGGTCCGGTCCGGGTCCGGGCCGGGCCTCCGGTTTGGATTTTTTTTTTTTGCTTTCCTCACCCCCCACCCTCCCAAACCCCCCCAAACCCATCCTACCCATCAAGCCCAACCCGGATGGAACCCCAAAAATGAAAAAAATTAAAAAAAAATCAATTTGGCCCGGGCCCGGGCCCGACCCGGCCGGACCGGTTCACCAAAATTGAGACCGAGCCTGAACCCGCCCTACCCCCCGGGCCTAGACCTGACCCGGACCCGGACCCGAGAACCGGGCCGGTCCCGGTCCCGCACAGTAGCGGGCCAGGTGGCCCGACCCGAGTCCAAGCCTAGGTACAGGGACTCCAACTCCCAAGCCCAGTCACGCCCAAGGCCCGACCCGGATCCGGCCCCGGCCCGAGCCAGGTCCATCCCTAGTTGCGGTAGTGCTAGACGCTGCAAGTGGTAATGGATCTGGCCATTACAAGTGGTGGCAGAGTTGGGTGGTGCGAGTAGCAACAGTCATTGTTAAGCGAGAGAGACCCAAGGGGTTGAGCACGAGTTTTAAGCTTGGATTAGGTTATACGAGGGGTAATGGGGTATTTAGCCATTTAGGTACTGTACTTTCCAACATAGTCACTCTTTTCAGTTTTCACTCTTTTGTCCAGATTTAAATCTAGTCTTACTTTTGTCTATTGAAACTCAAATAGTAATATTTTTGCCATTCATTGATAACTATTCTACTATAGCACAAAAATTAAATTTAAATATAATAAAATTTCTATATATTCAAATCAGAGATTAAAAATCCAGTCATCGCAGGAACAGTAACATCACAAACAAAAGGAGGCAGAATGTATCTAAAAGAATGATCAAGTTTACATTACAACCTATTCGGGGAAATGTGACAAAATTATCAGCAAATCAAATTTTCTACATGTGTGACTTATTTACATTGGATTGTAAGCCGACAAAATTTTAAAACATAGAGTATCCTTACTCTTCTACCTACATTGGCTACATATTCATGATTAAATGAAAGCTATCCTGTGCAGTATTACAGGCACGGGGTTATAAATATTCCCTCAAACCATGTAATAATGGTGTTGGAGAGAATCAGTTAAAGAATACTTTTACTGACACAAATACATCCCATGACAACAGAACAAAGTTGAGTTAAAAATTGATGATTCATCGGTAGTATAAGCAGGTTCAGCAACCACTCCTAGAGTCCTAGAAAATCACTTTAGCATAGAGACCTCACCAGTGCGGCCATTGCTCCAAGTTCAATGGCACCGCCTGGAGTAATTGTCACTTCTATTGAATTTGGCATGTATCAAAATGGCACTGTGAGTTAAATGTGGGGCTTCCCATATCCCTCATCAAATCAATAATCATTAACTCATCACGGACCACATGCACTGGAAAACAATTGCTGGATTTTTTTGTTCTATACACATCACCACCCCCTTGAAGCAATAAGTTTCCTTTTGCTTTTCTTTAGTATTGCTGACAAGTCTTCAGCGGTTTTCTGAGAGGATTTAGTTTCACCAGTCAGCCACTGAACAGCTTCTGCAGCAGCAGCCTTTTCTGCTTCTTTTTTACTACCACAAGGATGGCCCACAAAATCCAACCCATTAAACATTACTGCAGCTCGAAATTTATTATTCTTTAGTTGTGTTGTCTTATAACTGGGAGCTTGATGTCCAGCTCGGACAAGCAAAGTTTGAAGATGGTTCTTGGGGTTGTCGCCCCCATCAGACTTGCTTGAAAGCATGCCTGCTTCAGCATCCCATTTAGATTTGGTGGCAGATTCTTTTATCTTACGGCCAAATACAAATCTACCTTGACATTCATCCTCCAAAACCAGCATTCTTACAGCGGACATGAGCTCATGATGATTGCCTAGGTCTAACTTTGGATTCAGAAGCTGTACAGATACCAAAATAAGAAAAAGAAAAAAAAGAGAGCAAGAGTTTGTCACTGGGCTTTTTCAACATATACAAAAGGCTGCATGAATACTTGCTAAGGCATGCATGTAAACAACGATGAACACAGGGTTGAAAAATGGAATGAAAAGCTTGCAAATGACTTGTCCAGAGCGAGAACAGAGTAATATAGTTATTACTTGATACACATGCCTAGAAACAAAACTATGAAACTTAAATAGAATAAAATGAAAAGACACACCATATAGCCAATCTTACACGTACCTTTTCATGGACAAGCCCATCAAGTTCTCTCTTCAAATTCACATATGTGGTTGCTAGAGTGGGATTCATGAAAAACTCCAGGTATCCTCCCAGCATTTTTAAGTGCCCATGCTGTTCATGTCAAAAGAGTTGTAAGTGGAAAGGTATAGGCTCATTTCTTGAAAAATTATGAATTGTTTACATTTCATTTGAGAATTTATGATAGTGCTGTTTGTAGGGCAGGGGAGAGAACTTACTGCACTGCCTCTTGAAATACTTCCTCCAAATAAAATAACCATTGAATCAGAAACAGCAGTAGAATCACGAAGGAAGACTGCATTAACTTTCACTTTTTCATTGAACACGAGCCAAGGGTATGGAATTCTAGGCTCTAGGGCATTCACAGAGTTCTGCCACAAAGAAGAGTATAAGTCAATATCAAATAAGAGATTCTGTAAAAGAATATATATGTTTTTTATCAAAATAAAATCACTTTACCGAGTACAATAGAACAGCTCCATCCTCCATTGTTTTCAATGATATAGACTTCTCCTTGTTCTGTTAAATACATACTTCAATCAGCTTTGATATTAGTAACTACATATGGAGAGGTTTCTTGATATTGGCTAAACAACACATGCATTTTGATTTATTAAAGACTTCAAAAAGTCTTAGCAAGAGCAGAGTTTTTTTGTACAAAGGATATAGTAGGATAATTGAATATAGAAGTCCCATTGGATTAAAGTTTTCCCAGCATAATTGACAATCTTTAAGCCATCAAAGAGGACTACTGACCACAACAGAACATATTCCAGGGAATAGACCGGCACAGACAACTGCACGAACGAGGTATTCATCATGACTCCATGTGTTGCAACTTTCCGCATCCCCAACTAAACCAGTCTCTTTGAGCAGATGGAAAAACTGCTTGCGAAGGGAATCGATAGCTTTTAGAGTCTGTTGAGAAAGAAAATTCTTCCAACAATATTCCTGAGCAGAACGGTTCCTCTCAGCATCTTTCCAACCTTCATAGGCATGCACAAGAGTAAGGTGGTCACTGAAGTCACGAGCAGAAAACTGCGATTTTGCTGATTCCGCAAGCTGCAACAAGTTATCAGCCACTATTAGGTGCATGTTCCTCAAACTGCAGCAAATATCAAGGACTTAATGTCACATGTAACTATAACAAGAAAGTCATGACAAGTTAAACTCAACTTGGAAATCAATAAAGCATACTCACTCCATCCGAAAGTTAAGATGCATTTGGGGTTTCCGCGAGTTTTAAGATAATAAAGGATATAATTGTTCTATTACAATGGCAACCTTCAAAAAATAAGAAAATGTAGAACGGGTCCACATAAAGTATATAGGTCAAGTGATATATAAAGGGATAAAGTAAAAAGTTTGTGGAGTTCATTTTACTTCCATGTGAACTTCCATAGCAGTTTAATTGAATGATTAATAGCACATGTGAAAAGTATTCATTTCAAGGATATGATGATATAATCTGATCATTCATGTAATGTTTCAGCAGAGTCATGAATTCAGGAAACACTCTTCGTTTCACAATAACCGCTGCTTTGGTTGAAAACGTTTCTTTCACAATATCTATCGTTTTATAAAAAGTTAACACCCCATCAAACATTTCATACAGAACTTCACTTTTGTCCCATCTCAATTATCAATTGAAGTAATTTTTATTAATTCTAATAACGAACTATTTGCTGTGGCAGCAAAGTTTGGTTTGTTTACAAAATGCCAACACATCTTGAACATATTGGATGTACTGTTGGCATCTTTTGGGCCCTTAGATAGTTAGATCTAAAATCCAGTGCACCGGATCATTCTCATTTCTCTCAAAAAATCACATTCAATGCTCATTTGGTCCAAAATCTATATATTCAAATACAAACATACTAACACACAAATTTGTGTGTATTACTAATTAAATATTATAAAGTCATAGTACTGATATTTACCACCCGCATAAATATGTGTAGAAATAATTATATTGTACTACCTCCCTTCCTAACTAACTGCAGCATGTTGAATGTTACATTGTTCATGTAGGACCAATTCACCCCTTTTTACAAGCTTCCCAGTGGGTCGCCTATCCTTGGGATTTCCTGCCCCCCCCCCAGGCCCCCACTCACTTAACATAAGACCAACAATTCGCAAGTTCTACTTTGCCTACGTTTTATGCATTAGTTATTGAAAATTTATATTTCAAAAAGATAATGTTAAATTTCTCAATTTTTTTATTTTCGAAATCTGTTTTTTGTTTTATTTTTACTAATAACAGATTAAATATATTAATGTGCAAAGTTGTGTATTGGAAAATGTGAAAATGGGAGTGTTGCAACTAAAAAATAAAGGAAAAAGTGTGTGACTATATACTTACTCATGCTTTTGTTTTTGTTATCTTGACAGATCTTATTCAAATAGCTATTTTAATGATAATGATATGTATAATTAAGGATTTGAAATAATATGTACGCAATAAAAAATCAACATGGGCACCAACAGGGTACAATGGGGTGGGGCTGGGCCATGTGTAACCGGGATGCGGTGAGGGTGGGAGGTTTTTGAGACATGGGGATGGGGGAACTGAACCCACAAACCATTGTCATCTCTAGATGAAACTTTCTAAGGGCCAAGAAAGTAGAGCTGGGCATAGACTTGGGTTTTCTGACTTGGTACAAAAGATCCATTCCAGCCTCACTAGGACCAAGAATACCGAAACACTTTAGGACTGTCTATGGAATGGTACTTTATCTATAGTGATAACCATACTATTCTGTATGGTTCCAAAGAACTTCAGATTTTAAAATATAACATCTTTACTTTTACACTGTTTTGTATGTAGTGAAATTGCATGATTGAAATTTAGGGGGTGTTTGGAAAATGGCCTTTCAGCAGAAAATTACGGTTTGACCCTTGTTCGGCCCTAGCGTTTTTGGACGAAACCGCTGAAATGGAAACGCTGCAAATAGCAGTGTTTTCGGTTCGCGTTTTGAAATGGCATTTTCTATTAATTGGTATGGCCAAAAAACTACCCAAACATCTTTTTACAATCCACCAAATTATTCCGCTAGTCAAACACGTTGAGTGAATCGCTATTAAAGCCCCGCTAACATAATCCACTATCCGCTACTCGCTATATGCCAAACAGACCCTTATTTAGAAAGGCAGAATTAATATAAATCACACGATTCCTTCCTTAAAAGGAAGTGAAAAGAACTTCTTGAGATGGCCTTATGACTTATGAGGAATGTGAAAGAACATTTTTGGAAAGAGGGAGTGCGCTTGTATAAATTAACAAATACGCACATAATTATGTACATAACATACAATTATCTTGAGCACTTAAAAACTAAAAATAGCTTATTAATCACCATAAATAATAAGATATAAATAGATTAGAGTAGTCAATGATGCAAATGGAGATCACCATTTGTCGGCATAGGCGTTTAGGGGGTCTTCGCCACAATCCGGCGTCGATTGTACATGAGGTGTCACCATTGATTTGCCACCGCCTGAGCCATGCTCGCCATATTTGGATCTTATTTTAGTTTTTTTTTTTTTTGAAGTAGGCCCATATTAAATAGGCCCTTAGGTGTAACCGTGTAATTTTTAAGGCCCCGGTATTAATTTTTTAAATCCTAAATGGCTAACATGTGAGTGACCAAGGCATACTATCATCTACTATCAATTAACGGCTGATACCGAAGAAATATGTGGCGCAAGAACAAACGAAGACTGTAATTGTGTAAGAGAGCCCGTGCGACCACCAACGCCCACCCAGCTGGCAGCAACCACCCACACCACCCAGCAACAACTTAAGTGTTGTTAAATTAGTTTAAGTTTTTTAATTACGATTATGTGTTTAATTAGAATTTCTTTGGTACTATTATGAATTGCTTACATGTTTTATACTTTTATTTGGATTTGGTTATTTAACTATTTTATTGGTGGTTAAGTCATACAACTATAGTGCCTATTGGTCATGTTTATGCTTGTTATTTTTAGTGTTTTGTGGCGACACCATAAGTGCGCCATCACCATCGCCATGGTGGTTGCCATGCACTATGACAACTTTGAAATAGAATGTGATTATTTAAACTCAAAATTCAATACCTGACTAAATTTTTCACGAACTAGTTCTATTTTCAAAAAGTACCCAATTGTATTGAATAATTGGCATATTCATAGCAAAATAGGTACAAGATGGGAGACATGCTTTTTTTTTGTTTTGGGAGCAGTACCAACTGTTTCATTTTTACATTAGTTTGCACTGGACATGTTCTTTGAAAAAACGGTCTCGTAGCAAGCTCAACTCTATGGCAAAGAACTTAACCATAGACAAAATGCCATCTAAATAAAAAGTGAATATTTTTTTCCCAACTAATGCCCTTTATACCAGTAAATCCTTATAAACTTACATCTTTCTTGTCAAATGGCATCAAGAACGGATCTCGTAAACTTAGGCCAGCAACAACAGTCATAATAGGATCCAGACAGTTGAAAATTGAACCTAGTATAAGCATCTTTCCCAGTTTTGGTTCAACTGGAAGCATTGACAAGTTGCGTCCTGGAAGCAAAATGGAATATTAGCTTAGCAGTTTTTTCCTGAAAACATTTGTCCTGCTAAGTGTCTATATTATTACATGAACTAATTTAATGCCAAATCATTGACATCAAAAATAAAAACTTTTACCAAGAAGTGTAAGATTTTCATCTTCATCTAAAGCACCAATTGTTTTTAAATACAAGATGGCATTCTGAACCTGCAAAATAATGTCAATTAGCACAAAAATCGAAATGGAGCAAATAATTAGCTAAGAAAATGAACCTTGATGGGGCTGAGCATATAGAATGTGCTACAGAAAAAGCAACAAAAGGAAATACATATACCAAGTGAACAAATAAAGGAAACTTTTAAAACGAACATTTTGGTGGACTTACAGATAATGATTCTGGTGGCTGCAGGGCCTTAGCGAGGAAATCTGAAATACTTCCAAGTTGTAAACTTTTAATTTGCAAGCATAAAGACTGTAGGGGAGTTCTCAAAAGCTCTGGCAATTGATAGTCTGCAAAGGATTCGTATACACATCTAGGATATAGATGAAAGCACTCTCCAGGTTGAACACGACCAGCTCTCCCTTTTCTCTGGAAGGTTAAGAAGTATGTTAGCACTACCACTACATAGTCGGACACTAATGTTATAGACTTGGAATGTTTTTACTTAGAGTGGTTTCAGTCCGAGACCAGACTTAAACAAACCAGACTTAAGAATACCAGACCGGATTTTGACATTTGTAAAATACGCATAGACTAGACATCTACCAAATCAGACCAGACCAGTTAAGACCACATCAGAAAATTTCAGTCAAAGTAAAATCGTCCTTAAAGTAGTTATCTATCTGAACAAAATGCACAAAAATCAGTCTACATCTAACAAGAATAGTAACGAGATACATAGAAGATAACATGAAAGTAGTCGCACAGATAAGACTATATCATACTTGCCGAGCAGAAGCTTTTGAAATCCAAGAAGGAAGCAAACATGGAGTGTTATTGAGTGCATCATAAGATGTCTCTTTTGCCTTTCCACAGTCTACAACAAAGACCACATCATTTATAGTGATGCTGGTTTCGGCCATATTGGTAGCGAGCACTATCTTCCTCAGCCCATCTTCAGGCTTATCAAAAATAAGTCTCTGTTTTGCACACAAATAACAGTAAAAAATTCAATATATATGAGTAGCTACAAAATCATAACAACCATTCTAGGTTATATTTTGTGTCAAAAAACAAAAGGTATAAATAAAACCTTACCAATCATGGCAAGCAAAGAGTGGGTGACTCTTATTCTAAGAAAATGATACTCTATAGTTATTTGATGAGCAAAATGATGCATCAAGTATCTTAAACCAACATCGTTTTAACTTTTTATCAGGCACTGATTAGCTTTCTTCTTTCGTAATAGTAGTCTTTTGTTACAGTGCCACTAGATATCTTTGCTCCAGTTGTTGGGCATTCATTATTCCATTCAGGTTTTAACATAACAAGCAAGATTGAAATGAAAGGAAAAATGCAGGGTTAGGAACTTTTCATATACAAGAAAGTGGACAACAAAATTCTAGAGCATTTACGCAGCATGGTTTAGAAACAGTGGTGAACTGGAGAAAGAGTAAAAAATCAGAAAACCCCCAAATATCAAGAATTCATTTCTTGCAAGTGGTGGAACTTCTAAAAGAGTTCTGTAATGAATAGCTGGGGCAGGATTAAAAGAAGTTATAGGACATTTAAGCTGAAAATACCTGCTCTGTGCTGGGCATTGAACCATGACATGCAAGCAACAAAACTCTACTTGAATCTCCCAATAGTGGATTCGCTTGGAGTTGATCCTTTAGAGCATTTATGTCATCCCAACCAGTCATAAATACTAAAACAGCACCAGACCTTTCTCTTCTACATATATGGCAAAGAACATGCTCAATGAGGTCAAAGCCAATTGAATCTGGATTCCAGCATGATAATGAATCCCGAGTCCTAGGAGTATACTCCGTAAAACTGGCAGTTTCAAGTGCATCCTGGCCAAAGTTCAAATTCAATTTCATGATAGAATTATAGAAAACTAATGCGTGAAAGTTTGGCATATTAAAACAACTTACCTCTACAGCTGAAGCAATTTGTGTTTTCCTCTTCCTAATAGTTTGTTTCTGCATTTTCCACAATTTATCTTGACCATAATTATCAATTTGATTATATGTAGTCAACCGATACCCAGTCATTTCCAAAATATTTTCCAGGAAATAACTCCGAACGGGATAAGTAAACCCCTGTGAAAAGTGAAAGATAGTTGAATACATTAAAACTATCATTCCACTTCATGAACAGATGAACTAAATCTATAATAATACATATACACACTCAAATAGCACTGTTCTATAACTCCATCTATAATAATACATATACACACATATACGCACTTTTTACTTTATTATTCTACGTGCATATGTTGGAAATCACTTTGGCGAAGTTTTATGGGACGCAGGGGGTACAAGTTTTAATTGGATCGTAACACTATTTCTTGGTGAAGGTGGAAGAGAAATGGACTTTATACCCAAGTCATCAGCCACAAAGAGTTTCCTTAGAAATTAAGGTGAAGTCAAATCAAAACCCAAGCACAAAGCAAACAAGGTTAAGGAAGTTAGAAACACGAAGGTGTCTGTCAGTTTCCCATACAAATTGAAAATAAATGATCGTGTGACCATTTCAAACTGATTCGCTCCTTCACTAGTAGTAATAAAGGATATCGCCTCTTTTTATAAAAAGGTATGCCCCTTAGTGAGCTGTTGACGCCAGGTTAACCATATATATCTCTGTATATGCATATACATGTGTGCATACATACACGTGTGCACAGACACACTTACCTATATGATTTCCACACAATTTGTAAGAAAAACTTTGGTCAAATTGACAAATATATGTGACATATAGTTATGGACGGGAAGTGGATTTGTGGCAGTCTCCTTTCAAAGAGATAAGATTCAGGCTTAACATTGTATGAAAATCTGGTTTAGATAAGATGCAGATATTTTCAGCTTACAGGAATGTGAATCATAGGAGCACCACCAAAATAGGAGGAGAAAAGCTCTGCATTAAGCGTTGCGCTCATTAAAATCAACCTCAATTCTGGGCGGCGTTGAAGAAGATCTTTGAGCACAATTAGGAGGAAATCTGAAATAAAAAGCAAACCTTGATGACATCATTGAAATTTACTACTGAAGAAATATAATAAGCAACACAAACACACATGAATTACCTTCATTCATTCCACGTTCATGAATCTCATCAACAATAACATGAGAAACACCCTCCAAATTTCGATCAACAAGCAATCTCCTTAATAGGATGCCAGTAGTGCAAAATAGAAGACGAGTATCCCTCCCTTTCATCCCCTCAAGACGAACTTTGTAACCAACCTTCAAAAGAACAAAAGCATTAAGTAATTGAATCCTCTAAATAAATAAATAAAACAGTTATTAGCAGGAGCCAGTAGGACTAGAAAACTCACAGATTCCCCCAAATTCTCACCCCTCTCTGCAGCAACTCTTTCTGCAACTGCCATAGCAGATATTCTCCGAGGTTGGGTACAAATAATGCTGCATGTAGCTCCGCGAGAAGCTTCAATTTCTGATTCAAGGATATATTGAGGCAGTTGTGTGGTTTTACCACATCCAGTTTCACCAGATACAACCACAACCTGCACCCAAGTTCAATGTCAATACGAACAAAGAAAACCGAATCTACCAATAAGACCAATAAGAGGCTGAGTAACGTCGTAAATTATCATAGAAAAAACAAAAATGAGTGTTTGTGTGTTATGATGATAATGATGAAAACAACTATACACAATAGATCAGCTTTCATTTTAAGTTTGACTTTTTATTCTACCTTTAAATGGGGGAAAACGTGACAGCAGGGCCGTTTTTTGGGGGTTCAATAGGTTATCCAGAACAGGGCCCCTGATTTATGGGGGCCCAAATTTTTAAAAATTTAATAGTATTACATAATAGTATTATACTACGTATGTATATTAATACTTATTACGGAGTAGTAAAATACAGTTAGTAAGAAAGAAAAATATGGATCCATCATTTTTTCGTTGGTCATTTAAGTTTTCTTTGACTCAAATTGTTTGAATAATGATTTGGGTTGCTTTAAATCAAGTATTAAGTAAGTTTTAGAAATTTTTTTATTACATTATTTAATGAGTAAACAATTGATTTAAGTATAAGTATTTGGATTTAGGTTTTTTTAAATTTTTTATATTAATGTGGGGTCTCGATTTTATATTTGGAACCGGAGCCTCCAAATTCATTAGACGGCCTTGCATGACAGGTCAGACATATATGATATATCCGACTCCCTCCTTATTTAAAAGTTCACTACAATAGGTTTGGGCACACTATTTAAGGATGAAATAGTAGGGATAATAAATAGTGTAGAAAACAGTATGAGAGAAGGTGAAAAAGTATGAAAAAGAAGGTAAAAAGTAGAAAAAGTAAGGGTAATAGAGTATTTTTAAAAGAAAAACTTACCAAAAAGGGAAAGTGTAGCAAACTTTTAAATACATCCACAAAAGGAAAGTATAGCAAACTTTAAGGATGTTTTTACTTGGACTGTAATTTGTTGGTCAAGTCTGGTCTGAATTGGTCTGGTCTCTGTGTATTTTATAACTACGGAAGTCCAGTCTGATCTGGTCTGGTCTGTTTAAGTCTGGTCTGATCTGGTTTGTTTAAGTCTAGCCCGGTCTAGTAATCTGGTCTGGTCTATTTAAGTTTGGTTTGGGACCGAAAACAGTCCAAGTAAAAACATCCTATAATACGGAGGGAGTATTCAAAAACATCATAACAAAAAGTTCAAGTTTTATGTTAATCATAAAAAACATCCTATAAATCAACAAACGAGTGTCAAATAATTTTGATTTTTATCCCTCTAGAATGAAGCGACTGGCTTTGATTGGAGAAAGATGACAACCGCATGTACTCATTTTAGGACAAGTGTTGTGTGTGGGGGAAAAATTGCAAATCAAAAGAAATTTTAAGAGATTAAAAAGTCTTAGCAAAGAATGTCTAATTTTTCCTGCTATGTATAAGCTAATACTCCTAATAGTGTACAGCAGAGGCAAAGGTTTAATAGCAAATCTAATTAAAATTAAATAAAGAGTGAATGGAAAAGACAAATGATACCTGATTCTGAGAAATGGCATTTAATAACGAGTTTATCTCTTTATATGCAGGCAAATTCCTTCGAAATTCTTGCATTTTCTGCCCTTCTAACGATTCCTACATAAGAGATGGTTCCCAATCCAAATATCAGGGTGATACAAGGCAAACAAAATGCAATTGAAACAAAATATATGAACGCGTGTTACTGCTAACGCTTGAAAGTTAAGAGTGAAAACCCGGGGGGCGGGGCATCAGTGCTGGATGATTAAAATGGCGAGAGGCATGTACATTTTATGATTGTAAGGCATCTCTAATAAGGATAGCAAAACTCCGTGGGACCATAGTAATACAGTATTATAGATCAGAATGTTCGGTTATTAAGATAGACCTGATGAAGAAAAAGGTTGTAAATAGAAGTATATTGACGCTAAGACTAAGAAAGGAAGAGTTTGCGATGAGAACATTTGCACAAAAGAGAGTGTAGCAGCATTGTGTTACGGATGCATTCTGGGGCAAACAATACAGGAGGCGACAGGGTCAAGAACGAGCCCAGAACGTTGCAGATTCATACTCAGACCGTGGGCCCAACTATATCGAGAAACAAAGTGGCTGAAAGAAAACTATTAATTAGTTATTACTATTATTCCTATTTCAGTTGTAGGCAACTTCCTATTTATACTATTATTCCTATTTCAGTTTTAGGCAACTGACTAATTGTTCTAGTATTCCTATTTTAGTTTTAGGCAACTGCCTAATTATTAATTGCCTTAGGACTCTTGTATCAGCCTCTATATAAGGGTCATTATTATTATCAATAAAGGAACTTTTGGAAGAATTAATTTTGTGTGTCTTGACTAGGTCGGACATCAATTTAATTCCTGCTTAAGATTTCAATTCTTCAGAAGTCATAGATTCCTTCCCAGTCAATTACCTTCCCTCTGAATTACAGAAACACTCTCGTCCCTGGACGAGATCATTAACGCAGGTTCTTAACAATTTGGTATCAGATTCCGGGACGATGGGCAACGATGCAGCAGGAGCCGAGGCATTGAAACACATGATTGAGGGCATGGACCAACGCCAGCTGACTGTGGAACACCAGCTGGCCGACCTGCAGGAGTGTGTCTCTAAATTGGCAGAATTACCGTCAGCGATGGCCGCCTTTGTCCGCCTTGTCCGCCTCTGTCCAGAAACTGACCGCAGATTCCTCCTCAGTATCATGATGACTTGGTGGTTCAACGTTTTTCTAAGCTTGATTTTCCACAATATGACGGTAAGAGCGACCCTTTGTCATGGCTTAAACGTTGTGAAAGTTTCTTTGTTCACCAACGTACACCGACGCAAGCCGGTGTGGGTCTCGCAACGTTTCACATGACTGGGACAGCCCAGCTCTGGGCTGATCAGCTTGATCCCAGTGCTACTGGCATCACCTGGACCGAGTTCTATACTAAGTGTACTAAACGCTTTGGACCGCCCTGTGGCGCCAATCCTGAAGGGGACCTTGCCAAACTCACCCAAACACATGATGTCGAAACTTATATTGAGGTGTTTCAACAGTTGCTTGCCCGCACAGTTGGCATCTCTGTGCGCATGCAAGTTAAAATCTTCACAGTGGGATTACGTGAATCGTTGCGCTTGGAGGTTGAGTACCAGAATCCAGTTGATCTTGATTCGGCAATGATGTTGGCCCGTACTGTGAACCGCAAGTATGAACACCCGGAGACCAAATCTCGTTCCACTCTTTTGGTTCCATCTGCACAGTACACGCGGCACGGCCACCGACACCGAATATGCTTGATCCATCCTTAAACCGACGGCAATCCACACCGGGGTTTAAAAAGATCTCCCGCGCTGAGGCTGCCATACGCCGGGAAAAAGGTTTGTGTTATAACTGTGACGATCGTGGCTTCCAGGTCACCGTTGTAAACGACTTTTTTTATTGAGATTCCGGATGAGGAATCCTTAGAGGAGCCAGATGAATATACAACCAGTGCTGAGGGATAGTGCTGAGCCATCCCTGTCTATCTTGGCTATGACCGGGTTCGGATCTTCATCCACCATGCAACTTTCAGCACGTCTCTATGACCGTTCCATCACTATCTTGGTAGATTCGGGCAGCACTCATAACTTCCTGCACCAACGGTTACTTCCAACCACGGCGGTCCTATCTCAGGTTGGCAGTGCACTCCATGTACTTGTCGCTAATGGTGACCGTGTTTCCATAATGGGTACCTGCTCCAATCTCCCTTTTGAAGTCGATGGCGGACAATTCTCAGCAGATGTTAATGTCCTTCCACTGGCCGGGTTCGATATGATCCTTGATGTTCAATGGCTCCGTGGTTTAGGTTCCATCGTGTGGGACTTTGAGCAGCTCTCCATGCGTTTCCGGTGGCAGGGCCATCCAGTAGAATGGCGTGGACGGGCAGCAGGTCACTCCATTCATGCCCACATGGCTGTTACCTCGCAGATGGAGACCCTGTCTCTGGATACAACGCTGAACAGTTTCTGTGACCTCTTTCGAGAACCCACCAGTCTCCCGCCTCGTCGAACTCATGATCACCGTATTACTTTATTGCCGGGCTCAGGTCCCGTGGTGGTTCGACCATACCGATATCCTTATTTCCAGAAGGATGAAATTGAAAAACAATGTTCTGAGATGTTACAACAGGGGATAATCCAGCATAGCCGCTCTCCATTCTCATCCCCAGTTTTATTAGTCAAGAAGCCAGACGACACATGGCGTTTTTGTGTGGACTATAGGGAATTGAATGCCAAGACTGTTAAAGATAAATTCCCTATTCCCGTGATTGATGAGTTGTTAGATGAACTCCATGGCGCCAAATTCTTCACCAAGCTGGACCTCCGCTCTGGTTATCACCAAATCCGCATGGATCTTAATGGTGTCGAAAAAACAGCATTCCGAACCCACCATGGTCACTTTGAGTTCCTTGTGATGCCATTTGGGTTATCTAACGCTCCATCTACGTTCCAGAGCCTTATGAACGACATCTTTGGGCCTTACTTGCGCAAATTCGTATTAGTTTTCTTTGATGACATCTTGATCTATAGTAAGTCATGGGTTGAGCATGTCCATCACGTTCACCTTGTTTTTGAGATTTTACGCACTCACGGATTGTTTCTCAAACATTCCAAGTGTAGTTTTGGATCCCCGCAAGTTAACTACGTGGGACATGTGATTCATGGTCAAGGCGTTGAGGTTGATAAATCCAAGATTCGTGCGGTTCTTGACTGGCCTACCCCAAGCACCGTAACTGCCTTGCGTGGTTTTTTTGGGTCTTGCGGGCTATTACCGCAAATTCATACAAGGATACGGAGAAATTGCAAGACCACTCACCCAACTTCTCCAGAAAAATGCCTTTGTTTGGTCCCCAGCAGCAGCCACCGCCTTCACTGACCTCAAGCAGCGTTTGTCTTCAGCCCCAGCATTGCAACTTCCAGATTTCACAAGAGAATTTGTTGTAGAGTGTGATGCCTCTAGTAGTGGGTTTGGGGCCATCTTGCAGCAAGAGGGTCATCCCATTGCATATTTTAGTCGGCAGATTGCTGCCCGCCATTCGAAACTTGCGGCTTATGAGTGGGAACTAATCGGTCTGGCGAAGGCAATCACCCATTGGCGGCCCTATCTTTGGGGCAGAGAGTTTCTAATTAAGACTGATCATTCGAGTCTTAAATATCTGTTAGAACAACGCCTCACTACATCACCACAACAACACTGGCTAAGCAAGCTTATGGGCTTCACTTTCCGGATCGAGTACAAACCAGGACGCTTAAATGTGGTTGCAGATGCACTGTCTTGCCGAGATGAACCTATAACGTTAGCAGCCGTCTCCATTCCATATACAACTATCATGGAGGACATACGCCTCGAACATGCCACGTCACTTGAAATCAAGGCTTTATGTGAACAATTGACGGCTGGGGTCCTCGACGATGACTGGGCATATCGTGATGGCTTTCTCTACTTCCGCCATAAGATTTTTCTCCATTCTACCTCATCCCTCATTCCCACGTTGATTATGGTGTTTCATGAGATGGCCCATGAAGGTGTGGAAAAGACACTACAACGGTTGCGCCGAGAATTCTATTGGCCCAAAATGAAGCTAACGATGAGTCAGTATGTCAAGGACTGCCTCACATGCCAACGCCATAAATGGTTAACATTACAACCAGCAGGGTTGCTTCAGCCGTTACCCATTCCACAACAAGTTTGGGCCGACATTTCCATGGACTTCATTGAGGGGCTGCCAAAAGTTCGGGGCAAAACAATCATTTTTGTGGTTGTGGATCGTCTCACAAAAGCTGTCCACTTTATACCACTGGCTCATCCATACACGGCTGTTTCAGTAGCCAGTGTCTTCTTTTCTGAAATTTTTCGGCTGCATGGACTCCTTGAATCTATTGTTTCTGACCGTGACAAAGTTTTCGTTAGTCAATTTTGGCGAGAACTTTTCCGTTTGAGTGGCACTAAACTGACTTTTTCTTCAGCTTATCATCCCCAGACGGATGGCCAAACGGAGGTAGTTAATCGCTCATTGGAAACTTTTCTACGCTGTCTCACAAGTGACTGCCCCAGGGAGTGGGTTCGCTGGTTACCTTGGGCAGAATTCTGCTATAACACTTCCTTTCACTCCAGTCTAGGAGATACTCCATTTCGTCTCGTCTATGGGAGAGATCCACTGAAGTTAACCTCTTATACTCCAGGAACAGCAAAATTGGAGGGAGTGGAACAAGAGTTAATCAACCGTGATGCTTTTTTATCTTCAGCTCGACGTCATTTGACCATTGCCCAAGCTCGTATGAAATCTCAATATGACAAAAATCACAGGGAGGTTACCTTTGAACCCAATGATTGGGTTTGGCTGCGGGTTCATCCTTACCGACAACTCTCCATGGGTTCTCGTCACCATAAACTACTTCCCAAATTCTATGGTCCATTCCAAGTGGCTGCTCGCATCGGCAAGGCCGCTTATCAGCTTTCTTTACCTGAGACAAGTAAAATTCATAACGTCTTTCATGTTTCCCTCTTAAAGAAGCATCACGGTCCTTCCCCTGAGCATATGGGACCTCTGTCTCCTTTACTAGAACAACCAACAACCTTGCAACCACTAGCCATACTTCGCAGACGCCTTAATAGGGATGTGCCAGAGGTACTTGTTCACTGGATGGGACAGTTGGCCGAGGAAGCCACCTGGGAGACCTTGGAGTCCTTTACTGCTGCATTTCCAAGATTTGAGCTTGCGGACAAGCTCGAAGTCAATGAGGGGGGTATTGTTACGGATGCATTCTGGGGCAAACAATACAGCAGGCGACAAGGCCAAGAACGAGCCCAGAACGTTGCAGATTCATACTCGGACCATGGGCCCAACTATATCGAGAAACAAAGTGGCTGAAAGAAAACTATTAATTAGTTATTACTATTATTCCTATTTCAGTTTTAGGCAACTTCCTATTTATACTATTATTCCTATTTCAGTTTTAGGCAACTGACTAATTGTTCTAGTATTCCTATTTTAGTTTTAGGCAACTGCCTAATTATTAATTGCCTTAGGACTCTTGTATCAGCCTCTATATAAGGGTCATTATTATTATCAATAAAGGAACTTTTGGAAGAATTAATTTTGTGTCTTGACTAGGTCGGACATCAATTTAATTCCTGCTTAAGATTTCAATTCTTCAGAAGTCATAGATTCCTTCCCAGTCAATTACATTCCCTCTGAATTACAGAAACACTCTCGTTCTCGTCCCTGGACGAGATCATTAACGCAGGTTCTTAACACATTGTAGATAATGTAGGGAGAACTGAATATGTTAATCGGACATGTTTCTGTGAGTTGGTGAAAATATAACATAGGAATATACCGCAATAAATCACGGCTACAGCATGAGTGTGTGATGTGATGCATATTGCTCTATTGAGGATTAACATGGTATGGAATAACAGGTGTTAATTAAGATGTTGAATTGTTGATTTAGGCTCCAACAACACATTTAATTAAAAACCCATTTTAATGTCAACTATTCAATTCATTTATACAAAATGTTTACAAGATATACATAGCTGACAACCACATTACTAGTAAAAAACGCACTAAATGATGGTTGGAAAACTATTGACACTGTATGCAGTTATGCACTTAACCTTAGAAGTGTACACCAAGTGTTCACACTGTATATATTGAATGTTAATTGTATTTAGTTAATCTTGGAATTTGTGTGAACCACTGACAAGTGTGACCATAATAGTCACATCATACCTAAATGTTACATATCTAAGTCTTACTCTAGTTGGAAGAGGTTTTACATAGTGAGGTATGCACCTTCCACATCTGTTGCTTATGGTGCATTTCAAAACTCCTCTGCCGAAGGATTCTCTCAGGAATGACATTTCGTGAAAGAGGCTTCTCATTCTCGCCGAATCTATCATTATTTGAAAAATGGTGGCCATCGCAATTTCTTGAAGAGTAGTTGGACTCTGAGCTTTTGTTAATGATAGACTTTCTAGAACAGTATGCTTTCAAAAGAACATCTACACGGTCTTGCAATCCTTGTGGTAAGACGACCTATGAATTGTAAGAAGATCAACTCAAGATTCAATAAAATCAATGTAACACGTGAGGAAACTACATTACCAGAAAGAGTACAAGAATGCAGAATAGAACGGAATGCAATCAAGTCAGCAAGGAATTACCTCCCTCTGTGGACGCTTAGCATCCAGATCGGGTCGATATTGTGGTAATGGAACTTTACTAAAGACAACTGCTTTATCAAACTGGCGACTGCATTAAAATTGTGATTGAGATTATAAAAATTGCGAAATTGCAAGAAACATAAATATATTTAAAGCTGTTTGTATTTTTTGAGGCAAAAACTGTATGAAAAACAAGTTTGTTATACATATGTAAGCCCATTCTTGTTGCCAGTGCTGATAGAGGTTCAAAATCACGACGATCCTTTCTCTCTCTTGAAATCAGTTCTTGCTCCTTTTCGTTACGCAATAGCATGGTTAGCTTCCACCTCCACTCTTCTATACGATCAACAGTTGAATCAGTCTGTTATAATTTATAAAAACCCATTAAATCCAATCTGTAAAGAACAAATTTTATTTAACATTTAACATCAAAAAACTCAATAAAGTGCACATAAATGGTCAGGGGAATTTCTGTAATAATAATTAATCATGTATAAATATAATGCGAATATGCTGACTATATTGCACTGCTTATGCATTAAAATCGGTTGCTTTAAAGTGATATTTGGCAATTGGCATAAATAATGGTCTTATATTTGTATGAAGAATCAGTACTTAGTACTTACCAGCATGCCTCAGAAAGACACGCAACGTACATCCAAAATTGCGAACAGTTTTTGCTAGTTTACCTCATTATAAGTATTGGAGAAAGCTTTTCACATTTTTTTGCTACGGGTTTCAATAACATTGTGTTGCAGGCACATTAAAATTAAGAGTGACCCAGTCTTCAACATCTATCTAGTCTCTATTGTATTTCCTTGGGAAAATGTCAGAGACAATATGTCTACTAGTAGTTTTTTAAACTGAGTGTTTTCTCCCGACTGGTTTTTATCCTCAATTGCTCTCTAGAGAAGCCGTGTAAAACACAGCAATATGAAATCTTTTTTATTGCCTCAGCAAGCAAGGAAATGAACAAAAAAAACTTTATTCAAAAGGTAAGCATGACCAAAACCCATATCAATAAAACAGAAGTTGATGTATTAAAACTGAACACTTGCCAGCTGCTTGGACTCGTGCTCCAATTCCTGATCAGACTCTGAGTCCGAAGGGTACTGTGGGTGTGCATATCGGCCAAACCCAAAAATCTGCTGATGAAAATACGGCAGAGAGAAAGAGGAAGCGGACATATTTCTGCGCAGTCCAAGTACAGCAGCTGGAGAAGACCCACTGCTGGTCGAAGAAAATATACCCAAGTAGTTCGGGCGGTGCGTAGGTCTTGTGAGACGGCAAATAATAGGCCATTTTCTCAAATGAAAGCGGCGGTAGAGCTGAAGAGAGGAAACAAAGGTGCTGGGGGGGTACGCCATGGCCGTGGGCAGCAATGGGGTTGCCGCTGGCCTTAATATGAGACAATTGCTCATAAGGTTAACGTAGGCCATGGTTGAACTGAATTATGGGAACATTGGTTACTTTTGTGCTTAGGGTTTTAGCAGATCAGGGGTTTGGTAATACACCAATAAGGATTAAGGAGTACTATGTATTTCTTCTGTTCGAATATGGTGTGAGAGCAACTTCAAGGAGCACCAAATCTCACACTAAAATGGTGTATTTGTCAAAAAAATGCTCCAATAATTACACCAAATCTTACATCATTATACGGAGTATCATTTTGGTGGAGGGGAGAAGTTCATGCCATATATGGTGTACACCAAATCCCACACCATATTTTCCTTTTTTTAAATTTTGTTTATTTAAAAAGTGACCCAAAATTTTGATAGTTATAATTTTGACCCATTTTTAAAACAACAAATTAGGATGTTTTTACTTGGACTGAAATTTGCTGGTCTGCTCTGGTCTGGTATGATTTGGTCTAGTCTGGTCTGATCTGAACTGATATGGTCTGGTCTGATCTGAACTGATATGGTCAGGTCTGATTTCTTTGTATTTTTTAACTACCCAAGTTTGGTCTAATCCGGTCTGATGTGATCTAGGACAAATTGTGGTCCAAGTAAAAACATCCTTATAGAACAAGAAATTAAAATTATTAATTTGATAGAAAATAAAAAAACATAATACTCCAAAGTCCAAACAACATAATAACACAATACAAATGATACTTAAGAATTTTGATAACTAAACTAAGAATATTTATTTAATGTATTGCTTTAAGTTTAAGTAATACTTTATTAATGACGTACAAATTATTATTACGTATAATATTATTGTAATATTTAATTTTATGTGGTTTTAGCTTGTATTTGTGAAATATTGATTATTGTATTTTAATTAGTGAAATGCGTGAAAATACATATTAAAATGGTGTATTTTAGTTTGTATGTGTGAAATGTCAAAATATTAAATGAGGGGCTAATGTATAAATATATGATAATTAGATACTTAAATAGAAGAATGGTAAAAAGGTAGTAAATAGAAAAAAGAGGGAATATCCCTTTTGTGATGAAAATGGTGTAAACCGTTGGAGATAAAATACTGTATGATGTGATGTTTACACCATTTTAGTGTAGAAAATAGCGTAAACTGTTGGAGATGGTCTTATCTCCCACCCTTAAAACTGCTTATTTTAAAAAAATGCATGAACAGTACAACGTGAACCGTACACGCGTGTACAGCAGCTGTTTTTTATTTTCATCCCAGTAACATGAATGATGTAACTTGTGCATAATTAGATGTAACTCGTGTTGTTACAAATGTAACTTCAGTTAACAACTAATGTAACTTATGTCCAGAAATGTAACTCATGTTTAATGAAAATAAAGAGTCTAATTGTCCAATTATTTTACATAAATAGTTCATATGTTTTTTTAATATTAGGTCCATTAAAAATGATTTTTAACAAGAAAAACATTTTTTATTGAATAACATAGATTTATTTTGTTGTGTAACTCGCATTTTTTGTGGTGTAACTTGCATAATGTCAAATGTAAATTAAGTGCAATTAAGATGTAAGTTATTAAGAAAAATTGAAATGTAAATTGCGTATTACAAAATGTAACTTTGCCAAAATGAAATGTAATTCCAGTGTATATAAAATGTAACTCTATGCGTAGTCTGTGGAGTTCCAACCTCCAAGGGAATACATCATCTTCGCCTCCCTCAGTGGAGGAGGAAGATCATCTCTAGCGTTTCACCAAAAAATCAAACAGGCTATCCTTGCTTATGTTTGGTGCTCTTCCTTCTTCTTTGTTGTGCCGCACAAACCAACAAGCAACACCCACGCAGATGTCTCTTGTATCGCACGAAGGGGGAAAGAAGAAACCAAGCGCCTCTTGAACGCTCAATTCATCAGACCAAAAAATGAAGTTCTTAAGTAGGAATAGAACTTCAAATTAGATGTCTTCCCTCATATAAGAAAAAAACATCCCTTAACGCAATCGAACCCTTCAAAATCCCCAATTTCTTCACCATCTCAATTTCATCTTCATCAATCGTCCCTGAAGCGGTGCATCAACACAGACAAAGACTGGAACTCGGGATTGGAACTTGGGAGCTGAGGGCGATGACAGTCTTGGACGGCCAATTGTGACGGAGGTAGAGCAGATGTGCGCAGATGCGGAGGAAAGATTACATAGGGTATAGCAGATGGAGATGCGTAGATCCGGAGTTTTGTAATTTTTTTAAACAAAAATGGTACCGTTTGGGATCGGTACACCTTGAGCACGGTGTGCCGATCCCACGGTATAATTTGCGTTATTTCTTTGGTCCAATCATCCAATGGAAAAAAGCTCATGGAAAATACGTAGAATGAAGTTAAACTTACTTTAATATAATCGTTTTTTGAAAGGAATCAGCATACTTAGCATTAATTAAATCAAATGATGAAGTCAGAACGACCCAACAAATTAGTAAAACTCGTAATGTAATTGTGAAATTTGTAACGATTTGGTACAATCTGATTCTAAAGTTGAAATCATTCGGTATTATGCCATTTTGAAATGGTACAATTGGTATTCGTTGTATGAGTACATGTTTATATACGTGAGTATTACATGATAAGAATACTCAACGAATTCAACTCTATCAGCTATGCATTTGGAAGGAAGTAATTCTAATCTAAATAATACAATTGTCATCGGTATAGTAAGGAGAGTAAAATAATATCTATATGTGTGTGACTTATCTCCAGGCGTGTGTACGCATGCATGTAAATATGTACGCAAATTATGTACATTAACCCCCCCCCCCCCCTGTCGAAGCTAGAGGCGGACGAATGCTGAGACTGGAACGGAATTCCTCAAACAAAATTCGGGGAAGGCCTTTGGTAAAGATATCCGCAAATTGGTGCCAAGAATGAATGTGAAGAACTCGAACCTCACCACGGGCAACCTTTTCATGAACAAAGTGGATATCCAATTCAATGTGTTTAGTACGATGGTGCTCAATAGGATTTCCAGACATGTAGACGGAACTGATATTATCACAGTAGGCTAATGTGGCTTTCTTAAGGGGGCAGTGTAGTTCAAGTAAGAGGTTGTGGAGCCAACAAGTTTCGGCAACGACATTGGCAACACCCCGGTATTCAGCCTCGGCACTTGTCCGGGAAAGAGTAGGCCGCTGCTTGGAGGACCAAGAGAGTAAGTTGTCAATAGTAGCCCGAGGTAGAGTGGCGAGTGTCGGGGTAGCCCCCAATCTTCATCAGTGTAGGAAACGAGAGACGCAATGGAGGACAGCCGGAGATGGAGACCAAAATGACGTGTACCTTAGATGTACTGAATTGAAGTATCCATTTAAGAGCATGAAGATGAGGAGCGCGAGGATCATGCGCAAAGAGGCATACTCGTTGAACGGCATAAGAGATGTTCGGTCTTGTGAATGTGAGGTATTGGAGAGCTCCAGCCAAAATGTGGTAAAGAGTTGGGTCTCGGACAGAAGGGCCGGCTGTGGCGCTAAGCTTGGAGGTTGTGTCAACCGGCGTGGCAGCGAGGTTACAAGCAGGTAAAGAGGCCCGAGCTAGTATTTCATCGGCATACTTCTCTTGGGATAAAAATAAGCCACCAGAGTGGCGAGTCACATAAATACTGAGAAAATAGGTTAGAGGACCCATGTCGGTCAATGAAAATTCTTTTATGAGGGTAGTGATGATGGAATGGCAGAGACTGTTGGATGAAGCGGTAAGAACAAAATCGTCCACATAAAGAAGCAAGTAGGCAGTGTTTGTACCAGAATGTAATATGAATAAGGAGGGATCACTCTTCCTATTACAAAAACCGATGGCGGAGAGGAAAGAAGAGAACCGGTGGTACCAGGCCCGAGGGGCCTGTTTAAGGCCGTAAAGGGACTTGTGAAGACGGTAAACATGATGAGGTTTAGAAGGACCCCGAAAACTCGATGGTTAGTGCGTGAAGACGGCCTCCTCTAAATGGCCATGTAGGAAGGCGTTTTTGACGTCAAGTTGGTGGAGGGGGTATGAGTGATGGAGAGCCAAGCTTAGAACAACCGGATGGTGGGCAGCTTGACAATGTGACTAAAAGTTTCATCACAATCAAGGTTAAGTTGTTGAGGTTTGTCGTTGACCACTAGTCAGACATTGTGGCGCTCAAGAGAATCGTCGGTCCTGTATTTATGTTTAAAGAGCCAAAAACAACGAATAATAATGGTGTTAGGGGGACGGGGAACCAAGTCCCATGTCTTATTCTTAATGAGAGCATTAAACTCATCATGCATGACGGCTAGCCAGTTTCACCAGTTTGGGTCACGTAAGACAAGCAAAGGTGACCGTGGGATGGGGGAAGGTTTGTGTATAGTAGGAGTGACTAAGGAAAATGGTTGTTTGGGTTTGGTGATACCAGCACGACCACAGGCGATCATGTGATGGCGAGTGGGGGCGTGGTATGGTGGGTGGAAGATTGACTTTGAGAGGGGGGAGAAGGTTGACCATGTGTGGTGGTGGGGAGGGTGTAGGTCGGGAGCTGGTGTGGGAGTAATAATTGGAGGTGGTGTAGGAGTAAGAATGGATGTAGGTGGTGGGTTGGTTGAATTTAGATGATGTAGGTATAAGGGATGAATCGGATGATTAAGGAAGTCATACGAGGGGGATGCGGGTGGGAAAAAAATATGTGCGAGATGTTGGTAGGGATAAGTGGTCTCATTAAATGTGACATGGCGAGAAAGGATGATTTGTTGTGTGTGAGGATGGAAACATTTGTAACTCTTGTGATTAGAAGGGAAACCAAGAAAAATGCATGGGGTGGAACGAGCATCAAGTGTGTGTATATTGGAGGAAAGGATATGGGGATAACAAAGACACCCAAAGACACGAAGATGCTCGTAGAATGGTATTTTTGGTATAGGATATGAGTAGGAGAGACATGAGAGAGTATCGGGTGGGAGGAATATTATGGAGGTAAGTAGTCATTTGGACGGAGTGAGGCCATATATTGGGAGGGACGGGCAATATTATTAATGGTGTGTATTGTCCGCTCAGCTTTACCGTTTTGGGGAGATGTATATTGGACAAGAGAAACAGAATTGTATACCATGTTTAAAAACAAAAGAATTAAATAATGAATTATCAAACTCCTTACCATTGTCACATTGGAAAAGTTTTAATACTACTATTAAATTGAGTATTAATATAGGAATGGAATTTGACCAAAGTGTCATATACTTAGGATTTATGTTGGAGAGGATAAATCCATAAGTATCTAGAGAAATCATCTAAAAAC